GGCTATCATGAGGCCTAAGGACAAGGGTGGTTTGAATGTGATCAACCTGCGTTTGCAAAATGATGCTCTCCTCTTGAAATAGCTCCACAAGTTTTATAACAAAGTGGATGTTCCATGGGTGAAGCTTGTTTGGAATAAGTATTATGTTGGCAAAGTGCCCCATGAATGCAGAGAAATGGGTTCTTTCTGGTGGCGTGACGTCATGTGTCTCAACACCATCTACAGAGGTGTTGCACGCTGCACATTGGGAGACGGCTCAACAATTTCTTTCTGGGGTGATCTATGGTCAGACTCGATCATGTCTGCTCAATATCCAAGACTCCACTCGTATGCCAGGAACAAGTCTATCTCGGTACAGGAATTAATGATGCATGAAGACCTTGATGACATTTTTGTGCTTCCACTATCAACCCAGGCTTATGAGGAGATGATGGATCTACAGAATCACCTTATCACCCTGGAATATGATGATAGCACCGCAGATTTCTAGACAATGCTATGGGGACCCCAATATTCATCACGATGGTTCTACAATCATGTCTTCAGTGGCATGGCTTCGACTCCTTACTTCAAGGTACTGGAAATCTCGGTGCACACCTCGTGTGAAGTTTTTTCCGTGGCTAGTGTTGATGGACCGACTAAATACAAAGATGATGTTAAGAAGAAGGCACCTGAACATACAAGATGATGTACTATGTGTTATGTGCAACCAAGGTGCTGATGAAGATATTGATCATCTTTTCTTTATGTGCCCGTTTGTGGGTCAATGTTGGACCTCAATTAATTTCTCCTAGGACGTCTCCCTGCCACTAGCTGAAAGATTGATGAGGGCCAATGAGGTGCATGCTTTGGACTTCTTCATCGAAGCATCCCTAATTGCAGCATGGGAGCTCTAGAAACTTAGAAACGACAAGATTTTTCAGCGTCGAGACCCAACTCCTTCTCTATGGCATGTAAATTTCAAGCATCAATGTAATTTGCAATCTGTTAGACTCAGGGAGGACCTTAGGTCTTCCTTTTGCTTTTGGCTAGATGCTTTCAGTTAAAACAGGTTTGTAATCTTGACTGTTGCTTAATCTACTGTGGGGATCTGCCCCACAGTCCTTTGTTTCAAAAAAAAAGCACCACTCGATAAGGAGTTACGCTCTTACATATGTTTTGTATTCTCCATGCAAACTTGTTTTCATAGCTTCATGGCAGCCTTTTCCAATTACTACTTCATATAAAAAGTAATCATTTTATCGAGGATTTTTACATGGGTGTGAAAAATAAAATCTAGGTTATAAGAGTTTTATGGGCTATGCCATTCGCCATTAAGTGAATCAAGGGGCATTTGGAATTGTAGTATATACTGACAAAGGGCTTCCTATATTGTCATCATCAATTCGATCGTATGAAGAAAATGCCTTGTGATTTCATTTGTAGAGTTAATTTTAATTTGGCTTGTGCGGATAGTATTTATTGCAAGGATTATGAACATTTCACAGTTGTAACATGATTTTCATTGATATGCTGCATTTTTCACAGGGTGCAGTTTCTGAGAATAATTTTCTCCAATAATGCTTATGGATGCTGTTGGGATGGATGAATGTGCCATCGGAACATGGCCTCAGCATACAAGTTTTTACTCACGATGCTGCTTGAATGGAGCTCAGTCTCATAGAGTTCAACGCTAGGTGCTGAAGTCCTATAGCAATTGTGTATGATTATTCTAAATTTCTTTGAGGGAATGTATAGCTGCTTGTCTTATGTGAAATAATTAAAAATGGAGTAAACTATCAATACATTTGCCTTACTATTGTTTGAGCTAGAAAATTTTTAAGGCTTACTGCATCACATGCTTATTAGTGCACTTTTGCACTATTGGAATAGCATAAATTATCGCGACCGTGTTATTTTCACGAACTTTACTTTTTGAATTAAATGTCACTTTAACGGCGGTATTTAATTTCACAGTATTGTTATCTTATCATGCGATCCTTGTATTTTTAGTACAAAAGTTTAGCTGTCACGTACCAACGCACGGGCCACTTCCCGTCAGTTTGTATGATTTTGTCCATCTATCAGCTACAGCAAAGATATTTTATTTAGTGTTGGCCTTGCGTGTGCTTTTTCTTTGATGAATGGAATGCTAATATGTTGCTCTTCTTAGAAAATATCCTGTAACAATAACATCATAAATGCACTTCTGATTCTGCTAGGCCTAGATGTACTCACATGCATTTAGTATTTTCCTGGGTGTATTTTCTTTGTTAATGTAGTAAAAAAATGATGGAATGTCATGTTAGAATTGCTTGGATTATTCCTGAGTTCGATTTGGATTAGTCATGTGCAAGGGTACTGATGAATTGGATTATTCGTAAGTCATGTTTAATCACATATGTGTCCACAACTCCTGAAAATGCAGGTGTCTGCCTGTGAGGCAGCAGAATGAGCTCTTGCTTCCTTTCCTACCAGCCATCCCTATACTACCATCAAGTAATATTAGTTTGCATCCGAAAGAACCCAACCCCTCCCTCACCCACTCATGTTGGTATTGCATTAGTACTAAAAAAGGTAAAAATGCTGTGATCATTGATTTAATCCTGGCTCCAACTGATATAGGAGATATGTCTTCGTCCAATTACATTGATTCAATCTCCTTTCTTTTTTTGTTTAGGCCACCAACAGGAATTCTTCTGCCACTTTAAAGCCAGGACTCGGCAGCCACAAACATGAGTGCTAACGTGAACTTTCAGTGAAGGGTGCTGTACTTGAGCATTTTCCTTTAACTTATTAGTGTAGCATTTTAACCTTTGGTGTGAAACAATGGTATTCTAGCAGATAATTAATTCTTCTGATTTGTTGGAGGTAAATTTATTTCATGCTAAGTTTAGAATTTTTTGTTTGTTCCATGAATGATCACTTAGATGTATGGGTGAATTTGAGCATTGATGATATAATGGCAACTTAGAATTTTGAAACTCCCGTAGCAACGCGCGGGCAAATGCTATTTACATATGTACCGGATGATGCAGCAGAATTTATTTGTGGATTTATTGGCGCACGAAAGAAATGGACATCGGAGATTTCTTTCTGCCGATATAAAACACTACCTTAGCCGCATCACGGAAAATGTCTATACATTAGAGTTTGTGAGCCTACGACGCCGTGCTCTCCTTGACTATGTTAATTTCACGAACTTTACTTTTTGGGATTAAATGTCACTTTAACGTCGATATTTAATTTCACGGTATTGTTATCTTATCGTGTGATCTGTGTTTAGTATATAAGTTTAGTTGTCCCGTAGCAACGCACGGGTATGCTACATAGTATATATTAAAAACTATATATATCTTGAAAAAACAAAATATTTTATAACTTGGAATGGATAGAGTATAAACTAAAAGAAAAAATGATTATCCAAACATTGAGACTACCAAAAATAGCTAAGAAAAATCATGATCCAAATCACGCTAAAAGGAACTGGCCTACTGGGTCAACCACACCCGAAAAGGAGAGGATGATGACACGTTGGTGAGATACGTTGATTCTATCCCTTTTTAATTTTAGGGGATCATTCAAAATCTCATGTTTTTTTTGGTTGAGAGATCAAAGATATATGGTGCGCCGAATCGACGGCCTCCCAGAGTGTCCACGTAAGTTCTTTTTAGTTGGTACGTTAGATCGAAATTCCACGGCTCAGATGAGACGCGTCACACCTAGCTTTCCTCCGTACATTTCCACAGTGGATAGATGAAGTAAGTGGACGCATTCAATGAAGTAGGGCTTCCCTGGTGATCGTACCCGACATGTAAATGGACGGTGACGCGTAGCAGGGAACGATGGATTTTCGACATGCATGGCCGGTGCCTAATTAATACGGTGATTGGCACACATACGAGTGCGCGTGCTGGGGCCTAGGAAAGCGCGGGTGGTCGGCACCGTCCATTCAATGAATTCTCGGCGTGCATTCCATGAACTGGGAGCATGCGCACTATTCGGCAGGCTTCACACTTATCCTCTTTCTCTCTCTCGTGTAAATGGCAGGCGGCAGCAGCTGCTTGTTCCTCTACTCCCTCCCTCACTCTCGGCACCGGCGCAGGAACTCTGGCGCTGGCAGCGGGTCTGGCGCTGGCAGCGGGTCTGGCGCAGCGGCCACCGGCACAGGAGGACCCCAACGCGGGCGAGGCCTCGCTCACGCTGCCGGCGTGCGTCCTCACCTAGGGCGGGACCCACGCAGAGGTGGCGCGGCGGCGCGGGGGGAGCGCGCAGCGGGCGTGGTGGCGCAGCGGCGCACCGGCGCGGCATCCCGGCATCATGGCCTCAGCAGTGGCGGGCTCCCACGCGGAGGCGGAGGCGGCGTTGTTGCTGCGGCGCGCGGCGAGCAGCTACCTGCACGCCGTCATCACCGAGGCGATGCGGCTGTACCCATCGGTGTCGTTCGACGGCCGGGTCGCGGTGCTCGACGACGTCTTTGCCGAAAGCAGCAAGGCCTTGCGAGTGGGCTGGTACGCCAAACTACTCGCATACGCGATGTGGCGGATGGAGAAGCTATGGGCGAGGACTGCTTGGAGTTCGTGTTGGGAGCTGGTGGCTTTCGGCGGCGCGCTGCATGAAGCGATCGAGATGGTTGCAAGTAAATCTTCTGAGTATGCCGTTTCCAATCCAAAGTTCATGGGTTTGCTCGGCATCTACCTCAACAATGGCCTTCCTATTCCTTCTAGATCTGGACCTTCTCCTTCTATGTCTCTTGTTTGTTTCTCTTCTCTCCTCATTATTTGTGGATGTCTTTGGGGTTTACATCTGTGGGGTCTACAACAGTTCCACTTTGCTTTTGTTTTGGTTGGCTTCGCTTAAGCTCAAGCTTCTTCTCGAGCTCGTGCCCTCGTGGATTTCTTTCTTTCTCATTTTCCTTCTCCAGCAATTTAGTTTCTCTGCTTTGTTGTTGCTGGCCTCACCTTGAGGGTCCTCCACCGTCTTGTTCCATCTCGATTCTTCTTTCTTGGCTTCCCGATTGTCTATCGCTTTTTGGTTCCCCCCTGTTGAGGCTCAGATTTATCTGAATGGCTTCCCTCTGGAGCATCATTTGATTGCTCATTGGCATCACCTTTGTTCTCTTGAAGCTGGACATCTTCTATGTTGGTTGTTAACTTTAAGAGCTGTTCTTGTGAGGAACTGTTATCTTGTTGGTTGCTCTCCCATGTAGTGGTGTTGTAGGAATTTTGTTCTTCTGCTACAGGTACAGAACCATTGGTGTTTTCAGATTTGTCAAGTACCACAAGGTCAGAAGTTGCATTAACGTTTTTTGCTTCCACTACAATGCCCTCATCTTGGTGGCTGGTATCTGATGGATTAGTGTTGCTTGAATTTTCTTCTGCTGGAGCAGACATGGAACCACTGGGGTTTTCAGATTTATCAAGTACCACGGTTTCAGAAGTTGCATTTTCGGTGTTTTCTCCCACTACAATGCTCTCATCATTGTGGTTGCTCTCTGATATAGTAGTACTGTTGGAATTATCTTCTACTGTAGCAGGAATGGAATCACTAGCATTTTCAGATTTGTCAAGCTCAGGCTCAGCTTCTTTCTGCTGCAGGAGTTCCTTTATAGTTGTCTGATCTGGGTTTGAAGCAGCTGCATTCTCTTTCATTTGGTTGATATGGCTCTCTTTCTCCACAAGAGCTGCTTCCAATTCTTTCTGGGTGTTGGTAAGATATGTGGTGGTAGTTTCTGAATCCATGAGCTTGTTTTTCAATTCTGCCCTCTCAATACTCAGGACAGATGTTTTGGCTTCCAGTTCGTCAACTTTCCTCCTCATCTCTTTATTAATTTCTTTTTCTTTCTGCGAAAAAGAAGACATTAATATTTGGTTGATGAGGTGTTCTTGAATAACAGGCTGGATAGATAGTTCATAGAAAACACTAATAGAAAAGGCAGATAGAATGCTCTAAAATGCTACAACTATTGCAGTTTACATCAACAATTGGACCATACGGCAGAATATTCTCAGTATTTACTTGCAGAATAAGAGGATGTTCAATTGAATATAGTGACTTAGTTGGCTACTTGCATTTTAAAACTAAACTGTGATGTGATGCTTCCAGATAAATGTATATCTGCAAATAGTGTCAATATTGAAGTCCTCTCAGGGGTGATTTATATGGACTAACTTATGAAGGCATGATTCTAGGTTTGACACTATCTTCATGGTTTGGGTATGGAAAGATTTCGCATGTGCAACACTGTAGTTTTGTTGCATCCATCTTTCTTCCAAGGGCCTGTTTACAATGTGGGAATTTTTCTCCTGCTCTTCTGTAAATCGTCATGAAATTTGTGCTTACGTACACCCTAAATTGGCAATATGATGGTTTTGTCATGACAATACTTAATGCAAATAGAATCATACTTTGCATGACATTGTAAGTTTGACCATTGACTGATAGTACCATGGTTCTGGAAATAAAAGGAAATATAGGTTAGGGAAAACTAGTGTTTGTTTTACTGTTTCGCAAATGTGCAAAGTTGCAGTAACAATCTGATTTATCTTTTTCCCACTTAGCAGGCTTAGTAATTCTGCATTAATTTGATACTTATTAGGTAGTTACATTCTTACCAAGTATTGTTGACTTTATTGTAAATGGAACAGAAACATTTGGCTGCATGTTTGCTCATGAGGTGTTCTGTCATGCTAACGCTGAACGCCTACCTTGGAGGATATTAAACTATTAGCTCAATCCTTTGATCAGCCTGCCATGGGTCTATCTGACACTTAATTCTTCACTGCCTGTGAAACATGATTTCATATATTCTTATTGAAATAGATATTGTTGGCGTTTGTTGCTAGATCCTTATTATAGGATGCTCTACACTAACAAATGTGTATAATCATCAATGTTGGTGTATGCATATGTATCTAAAAGAAAATCCATTTGAAAGTGTTTGCATGTCTAGCCTTGAAACACCTTACATATAGCACCTCAATTGGAGCAGCTCCTTCCTTGCTTAACTGAAAATAAACCTGCACGTGACCACCATGTATGGTCATTATGTTATTCTTAGGCTTTGTAGGCTCTCTAAAGTAGCATTATGTTATTCCTACTCATCCTGATATCCTCTATACCTAACAATACTGAAGCAGTAAAAATGTTATGTTCTATAGTGATTGCCTTGAAATAATATGAAGCAATGGCTACTAAAACTGGACTCATCATATACTTTTTTTATACAAAATGTAATGTCATTTTAGTACCTGGCACGGTGGAGCCTGCAAATATACATTTTTGTAAACAGACATTGTAGCATATGGTGCTCCCATGTTGCCAAAGTATAGCAAATCAACTACAAGATGAACCAGCTATGCTGTTCTCAAATGCCTCTGGAAAGATTGAGTTGGATGTGCATATTTCTTGTTTACTTTCATTTGTACTTAGTATTCTATGGATGTAGTTTAGGGATTAAACATGAACTACTAACAATTTTCTCTTTAAAGATAGACTGTATTGGAAGGGCAGATAAGTGCAGATAAAGTACAGTAAACACCGCTTGCATTGCTGTGGCTTTTCAAAAGCATTTGTTTCCCGATTTTGGATGCGATAACAGTTAATATCATTATTTTTGGAGGCCAAACAGCAATATCCTATTATAATGGTACAAGATTCCACTATAACTATCTAGCTATTACAGCATAGCACATGAACCATGAAATGACCATGCTTCTATTTGATGTGAAAAGTTTCTAGAGACCATGATCGTGATAAAAAAGCCATAGCCATACTCCACCACACTTTCATGTTTGGTGACTTTGATCAAATTAACCTTGGACAAATTAAGATACATACTGATCTGACCAATGACTAATGGGACTGCCGATTGCTGCTGTAGCAACATCCCGGTATTCTAACTTTCCTTTCCTACTTTGGTCCGTTTGCTTGATTCCCATTACCTGTCCTGATCTCCTTTTTATTTGTTTTGCAAGGATGTACTGGTCCAGGTCCTTTGTTTTAATAATTTTCCCTTTGTCTTTATTTCTCTCATTGGCAGGTTCTCCCAGTTTTTCGCATTGGTGTTTGACATAGCAAATATGACAAAGCTTCGGTAACTACTCTGATGCCTCCTATTTGTTTACTACGCTACAACTACAGCCTAAATCATGAATTGGCTGCTTCTAGCCTTTCACTGTATGCTGTGGACACGTTTATCTTTCGGAGGTTGGTTTAGATTTAGACTGTACTACAAAAGTAGTCAGTGACCCAAATAATGATCTTATTCAACTAACTTTATTTTATTTGTGGCCTTGTGCTTCTTTCAAGTGACATATATCATATATCATCTATGCGAATTCTACAAAATTATAGTATAACATGGATTATTTTTTTGACCTTAGCACCTGCAATGAACTATGGGGTTTATGCAAGTTGACAACTTAATATCGACTAGGCTTCTCCAACTACGTTTTGATCTAAGAAAAAAAAAACGAAACCTATTGCCCTTTGGTGGAGTTTAGGATGGCTGTCATGCCAACCTGATGCCGCTTGCTGCTTCCTGTTGATCTGGATTATTCAAGCCCAGCTACATCGCTTTTAATTAAGATTTGCAAACAGGTTCTGAAGTTTTTTTCCTAAATGACTCGCCAGCGCTTTGTGTATTTTTGTTTCCCGACTAATAATGTTGTTTCTCCTTCAATCTGATTACGCACATCATTAGCTGATTCTGAATCTTGTTTCCCTCAACTAAACTTTGTCATGTTTGTGATTGGTAGTTAGCACAAGCCTTGGGTTCTTCTTGTGTTGTTAATTTACTCTTGTTTCTCTCTCTCTCTTGCTGATTACCTGACTATGGGGTGCTTCTAGTGCTTAGATCGTCTATGCATTGTGATGGTCTCAGAAAGGCTCGGCATACAGTCCTATGGGATATAATCTATGAAGGCTTAAACATGGTTGCCTGTCAGCTGCCATCTGCCCCTTCCTTTTGCTTAGAAATTATTAATACATTTATGACCGATGCGATATTCCTTTGCTTCAAGTTACAGAGGCTGCCGGGTAGATATGTAGTTGCTGGACCACCTGCCAGAAAAGAAGAGATCAGCATGTGCTGCCATTTCATCGATTGCTGCTGTAACATCCCGATATTCTAACTTTCCTTTCTTACTTTGGTCTGTTTGCTTGATTCCCATTACATGTCCTCATCTCCTTTTTATTTGTTTTGCAAGGATGTACTGGTCCAGGTCCTTGTTTGGGGTCTTGCTTATACTATACCGCACCATGTAGCTGTGATATTGTCTAGGCAAGGGTTAGACACCTCCCTATCCACTTTGCCATCTCATCCTCTTTGTTTGACCCCTTTAGTAGTCTGTTATGGTTTTCCCGATTCAGTTCTGCTTTGAGTTCTGCAGCGAAAAAAAAGACTTATGAGACTTACTTTCTATAGTCTATGCCCAATTCCCTCGCAGTTGTGGGACTTATACTCTGTGCTCTTACTAAACTCTATGCTCTTAGCTCCATTATCTGCCGCTGTTAGCATATAATTTTACAATTATTATAACCTGACTTTCTCTCATGAAACATGGCACTTAGGCTACAATTTCTGTTGTATGCAAAGATTGCTCTATTTTGTGGAGACTAAATACCTGCAATGTTGGTACATTTCTAAGGCGTGATTATATATACTCATTTCAAATGGATACATATTATGTTCAGAACATGGAAACATTGAGACTAAATACTTGCAATGCAATGTCGCTACATTTCTGAGACATGATTATATATACTCTCATTTCCTTTCATCTTTCGTAGGTTCTGTGGACTCATCGGAATGAAACGGCCTAGACATAAACTGCAGCAGTAACTCACAACCATGCTATCGATGTGGGACCCACAGGATACCCCGCAAGGGAGAGAGAAGATCTAGTTCAACTAGGATTCTTCCCATGTAATCTTAGTAATAGAACTATTAAGTAATCCTACTAGGAAATCTCATTGTAAACCGACTAGGACTCTGGCCTCCTGACTATATAAAGGAGGGCAGGGCTCCTAAAAGAGGACGACAATTGTACAACATAACACTTCATAATCAATCCAACGCAAAGGCCAACGCCGACTGGACGTAGGGTCGTTACTCGATCTACGATCGAGGGCCTGAACCAGGATAAATCGACTGTCTCTTGCGTTTACCATCGAGTTCAGCATACGCCGAAGCCCGAACAATACTGCCCCGGGTACCCCCGTGGCAGGCTATCGGTGGTGAAACATCGACAGCTGGCGCGCCAGGTAGGGGCTTTCGGCGACTTTGCATCCGAGAGCTCGATGGACCTCGATAACATGATCTTCCCAACGGGATTAACTTTCATCTTCGGCTCATGGATCTACGAGGCGGACAACTACGGCAGGCTTCAAAGCCACCTCCTCAAAGATCCGGATCATCATGAAGAATTTCCTATTTCGACAACTACGACGGATCAGCTCACCAGAAGATCCGCGCAGCTCATAATACCCGATTCGAATAAGATTTCACGGCTACACGCATCCGACTCGAATTCAAGCTCTGTGTCCGAGATGAAGTCTCATTCGAGTGCTTTCAAGAAACCGAGTTCTTTTTTGGTAGGATTCCAGAGCACAACCCAAAACAACTCGGATTATCCTCAGAGTTCTTTCAAAAGGTCGAGTTCTTTTCCATTTGGGCTCGACAACACGACAAAATCCTATCAGGGATGGTTCGAAAGGTCTTTCAATCCAATGCTTGGGATACCACTGACATGAGCTCAGGAGGGTCTCGTGCTAACGATAACATCACAAGACTGTATCATCCACTGGCCAGGCTCCA